TCTTACAAAAAGTTACCACCCACATGGTCTTGTGAAACAGCCAATCAAACACAATACAATACAGTCAGACACTCCCAGCTAGGACACACAAACCCTCCCCTCTGCCTGTGATATAATTACTGTACACAATGGGTTAACTTAATTATCACAGGCAGGAAAATATACAGTTTCATACAATATTCATAACTTCCAAACCATACATGCAATTCTCATAAATTAGTTACATATTCTGAATCAGCATACTCCATATACAAACATATGTCAAAATCATACCATTCCCTCCAGTAGTTTAAAAGTTAGGTGGAAGTCCTATTTGACCAACTGCAAGCATGGCTTTCCTGCCCAAAACAGTTCCACAGATTTAGGCTGTGCAGCTGGTCAATTTTCTCCTCTATCCTGGAGATAATTGGCTTAAGTAACTGTAGTAAACTCAATTATCTCCAGGTACAGAAAATATCACTAAGTCACAACTGCAACAAAACACATTAAAATACATAATTAATATTCTATAGAACTGAACCCCCACATTTGACCTATCCCCAGATAGCTTGGATCCGAGCGCTCAATATAGCCAAACAGCGCTCAGATCCCACGAACACAGTCAAATCACCATGTGGTTAAACAATAGCAAGGGCTGATGAGAGACCGCAGTTCCAACTGGTCTGGCAGTGTCCCTGGGACAATGCCCTGCTGGAGAACAATGGGACAGGAAATGGGGGAGGGGAAGAGGCACACCTTCCCATGGATTCAAACGGGCAGAAAAAGTGTCCCAAAATCCAATAAGCCTAACAGACTTTTTAAATGGTAATACTTCCCAGAGGCCATAGTCACAAGCCAAGAGGCTGGCAAGCAGGCCTCTCCAAAAACCAGTGGCAAGGTCCCTTTTGCCACACTTGATAACAGATTTTCTAGGTGGAGGTATAATTTTCAACTCTGTTTATGTAAAAATATAAGATAGTAAGCATATATTAAAGAAATTGGGGGCGTGCAATTGGAACAGTGATGCCTGCTTAATCTTGCAGCTCTCTCCCACAAAGCTTCTAAAAGCACACTCCACCATCAGCAAAATTGACAAATTGAGCGTACCAAACGCCCGGACACGGTCATACCCCAAGGAACAACCCGTGACCATCTCAACCAGGTTCCTCCAAACACCACAGGGCCACTAAATCAGGCCTGCAGACCCTATCAGCAGACATCCATGCAGCTATCCACACAGAAGTGGCCACATTGAGGACGGAGATAGCATCTGAAGGGAGCCGCATACAGTCCCTGGAATACTCTGCACAATCCCTACAAACGCTCCATGATACCTCCAATGTTGCCCTGACGAGACAAGGGAACATGCTGCGGCAGGCTGCAAACCGAGGACCTTGACAACAGGGTCCGCAGATCTAATATTCGGGTCCGAGGTCTACCGCAGGGCACTAAAGATGTCGCAAACACACTAGATACACTCTTCAGGGAGATATAGGGGGCGTAAGGGCATACAGGGCAACACGACCCAGACTGGATGACGGAACCCCGCGCGATATGATATGCTGCCTCCACTCCTACTCCATCAAAGAGAAGATAATGCTAATAGCTAGATCCAGACCCTCGTGGCAATACCTGGGGTCCACGGTGACCCTGTTCCAGGACTTGTCGCCCTTAGCGCTGGAGGCCCGCAGATCGCAGATGGCCCGTGACGCTACTGCTCCATGACCGGAATATCCCATACAATTCCCTTTCCGCCTACTAGCTAGGCACCAAAACGAATGGGTGTCCCTGAGGTGGCCGGATGAAGTCCCACGCTTCCTTCACTGCCTGAGTTTACCCCCCACAGAAGTCACCGACTGGATCCAGGGACCGGTATCACGGAGACCTGGCCCGCCAACGCAGCGACGCAGACAAGAAGAGTGGGCTCCCGGGAGGCCCTGGATCCCGGAGGCAGCAGGACCCGAACCGCCCAGAGGAGTAAATAAGGCTGGCAAGAAGAACAGGTTTTAGGGCCTGGTACTGCACCAACAGGTCTCCACACATCCTTGAACTGAGAGTCCCCTTTATACCCACACCACCGATGAGCACACCTTATACCAAAATGCAGACGGGGGTGACAAAGTCAAGGTAGTTTCCTATTTTTCTTTTCTACTCTAAATAAGCCCACCTCTGCCCTGCCCTCCGGCTCCCCCACATTTTGACCTGGCATCTGACCCCACAACAGCAAAGCCCGGGATTGGAGCTAGGAGTCTAAGGACCCGGCAGTCCGCTACCCCAACTCGGGCTGGAAAATCCTCACACCGCTCCCTAAGGGCCAATGACTTGGTCTGGGGTAGGGGGTGTTGGTGAAGGGGGGGTTTGAGGCAATTATCATCCCTGCATGTGCTTTGGGCCTGGAGAGGCACCCTGGATGGGGGGACTGCTTGCTGCGGACGAAATCGTCCACAGGGGACATAGCCTAAGCCAGTCCACGACTCGGGTGGAGCCAGATGGACACAAACTCGCTGACTGCATGTATTGGTATACATTACGATTGTGATTGTTTGCCAGCTCCCACAGCCCCTCCAGATTCAGAGGAGAGAGGGCTGGGTACTATAAGGATACAAAGCGGAGGGAGGGGTGAGGGGGAGGGAACGGTTGAAAATAGTAGTAGAGGGCTGTATGGCATACCAGGTGGGATGGTGAGAGGGAGACAACTCGTGTACTTATGGGGGAGTGGGGGGACAGCATATGGGCTTCAGAATGGGAGGTTACTTCATAGAGAAGGTAGGGGGGAGGGAGGGGTCCGAGAGGGTACATGTGAAATGAGGTAGGGGGAGGGAGGGGTCAAAGAGGGTACGCGTGAAAGGAGGTAAATAACCAGGGAGGAGGGGGAATAATAAAACAAATTCCAAAAGGGAAGGGGTAGGAGAAAGGGAGGGAAAAGAAAAAAAAACAGAGGGGGGGAGGAGGGGTTGGGAGCAGAGAGGGACCAAGCAGACACAAAATAAGAGTAGAAGAACACATGAGAGGAACACGGAATGGAGAAAGAAGGCTGGGATGAACAATGTATTCTCATCAGCAGCTTAGATGACGAACCAGTTTAAGGGCCTAAACCTAGCAATATCCCTTTTTTAACCCTACTTACTACATGAAGCTATGTGATGTATATAACCACTCTTTTTTTCTTAAGGACCAACCATGGCTATTAATCTCAGGCCTGGAGACCAAAGCTCCCACTAATACCAGGTGCTAGCTACCCCTAGTGGCGCAACACCCCAGGACACTGATGGGCACTTGGGCTTGCCCCTCCTCCCCCGCACACATGACGCCTGGGCATAGCACACAATGCCCGTGCAACAGCAGGTGAACCCTCGCCTCTCCCTCCCCCTCACCTGACATGGGCCACATAACACTGGGACCCCAAGGCCTCCCAACCAGACACCCCTGAACCAGTTGCACCGATAGCCCCACACGCACAACCAATCGAGATCAGACTTAACCAAGATGTCACTGCGTACCATCTTCCCCTCAGGCTTGCTGAACCCTCCAAGTACAAACCCCATAGCTAGCCAAAAGGTAAAGCCACCAGTACACCACACTAAAGCCCAACATCGATATCAACATTGACTACCTGGACAAATCACTGGATACTGGGGGCATTATGTCCACACAATGCACAAGAATTATGAAGCCAGACACTTATTACAGAGAGTCATGGGCCCATGGGACCCCACAACCGGTAGACCCCTACCAACTGCTCACAGCCTCACCAGAACTGGTCGAACGACTGAACATACAACCCAACTCCTGTACGGTGACAGCCCGCACCAGACCCACGCTCCCATCCATACTCGGGTGTAACCAAACACTGAGGGAGTTGACACTGAGGCTGCGCCAGACACTCTCTGGAAGCGGTTCAGCGCCGACCAAACACTCAGACACATGTATTCCCCTCGTTTTGAGGGTATATTCACATACAAACCATCTCCCTTCCCTTTTCTTTTTATTATTTCTTCCTTTGTTCTCTCTTCGCCCGGGTCCTGTCGCAGAACTGTAGAGGCCTGAATATACCAGAGCGATGCTCCCACCTCCTACGTGAACTTAAATGCCAACATATCTCCGTAGTCTTGCTTCAAGAAATGCACTTCAAGAGAGACGCGGCCCCGACACTGAAGGACAAACACTACCCGATGACCTTTTTCAGCAACCGCCCCAATGCCTGCAGGGCGGGAGTGGCGATTATGCTGGCAAAGTCTCGATGTCAGACTCCATGGTTGACCCGGAGGGCAGATTCCTGTTTGTGAAGGGGGAGGTGTCACAGCAAATGTACACATTCGCTTCTATATATGCACCGAACAACAAACAGGCTCACTTCATACGCAGGACGATACGACTATTATCGGGCTTCAAAGAAGGTGCACTGATCCTATGAGGGGACTTTAATGTCCCACTTGACCCCATATCTGACTCTTCTACTCAACAAACTAGCGTCCCCCAAACAGCCCTTCAAAGCATACGCAGATCCCTGAGGAACTTGAGATTAGTAGACACTTCGAGGGCACTCCACCATGAAGAACAGGACTACATATACTATTCAGCTCTACATCACAGATACTCCTGCATAGACTACATTTTTATTCAACAGGAGGGACTCACGCATTTCCAGAAAGCGGAATTAACATCTACCCCATGGTCAGATCATTGCTCTACTAAAGTGGAGATGGAATCGCCCCTCTTCAGACCCACCAGAACGGCCTGGAGACTCAACGAGTGACTGCTCACTGACCTAGCTACGGTAGAACAGGTGATGCAGCAACTAACACTATACTTCGAGGTGAACGCAACTGAGGGGATGTCAAAGGTGACCCTCTGGGAAGCACACAAGAGTGTCCTCAGGGGGCACCTCATCAAACTAGCAGCCGACAAGAAGAAAGAACACAGAAGACCTGTGACCAAAAATAGCACCATTTGAAGCTCAGCACAAACGATCCCATCAGGAACAAGTGTATAAGGATTTAATAACCACACGTCGACAACTGATGGATCTCATTGAGTACAAATACCACCGGATAATGCAACACTCAAAAGCCTTCTTCTATCTTCATATGAACAAGGGTGGAAAACTACTAGCCCAAATGCTGAGGGGACAACAAGCTCCAGCACAGGTACACAAGATACGGACAACAACGGGATGCTTGACACAATTTCTGGAGGAGTTAGCAGACGAATTCCGCAAATACTATACAAAACTATACAACATCATCCCCTCCAAGCCAGGACACAAGCCTTCAGAGATACAAGAGACATTGAAGAATCCCTACAGGGATCCGAACAGGAGACAATTACACCAGCTGAGGAGGAACTCCTCGAAGCACCCATCTCAGAAGCTGAAGTACAGTCAGTGATAAAATTTACGAAAAACGGGAAAGCCCCTGGACTGGATGGACTTTCCAGAGGTTACTATAAAAAGTTTGGTAATATATTAATCCCCAAGCTAACCAAAGCTCTGAACGAACTGATGACAGGATCCGCACCACACCACGAATCACTGGCGGCAACGGTGCTCCCAAAACCAAGGAAAAACCTGTAACACTGTGGGAGTTGCTGCCCGATATCACTGTTCAACGCAGACATCAAGATACTATCCAAGATACTGGAGTGGGAATGAAGCCATATATGTTGCGATTAGTACACCCAGACCAAGCAGGATTCATCCCTGGGAGAAAGACGAGAGACTGCACACTGAAGATGTTCTCTGTTCAACAAACAGCCAGAAAAGAGGGCAGAAGGCTCCTCATGCTTTCTACAGATGCAGAGAAAGCCTTCGATAGGGTGGACTGGCTTCATGATGGCTATCCTACGCAAAAAGTGGGTTTCGGAGGGGGACTACTTAGATGAATTGGAGCACTTTATCACAGTCCAAACGCGAAGGTACGGGTCAACGGGGCACTCACGGTTATCTTCCATATCCACAATGGTACCAGACAGGGGTGTCCCTTGTCACCCATGCTGTTCGCTTTAACACTGGAGCCCTTCCTCTCCACCATTCGAAAAGTGCAACCGATCAAGGGATTTCGATTTATGGGCATGGAACATAAGGTATCTGCATAGGCAGATGACATGCTGTTTGTGACGGACCACCTGGCACCCCGACCGGGTACAACCGTCTATCGCTACTTCCTAGTAATCCTTGAATACCATAAGCATTACACCAGACACCATAACCACTATTAACCCCACAAATCTCCGCAGCTTGGTTTGGGTCTCGCCGTCCTCCACCCACCCTGGACCCAATACCAGGATCCAGCTTCAAGTGGGTAGACCTCTCCTGGTCCAGACAGCGTAGCAGGAACAGCTCTTAGAAGAGCTAGTGATTATACTCAGGGGAGTACTGTGATATAGCAATCCCCAGAGTATATGTAGTTCTCCAATCCCCCAAACACGAGCCAAGACTTCATGAAGGGGTAAAGCATTCTGTCTCAATGGAAGCCACAGCTGGCCTTTTATGCAAGTCCCCAAGCAAGGTGTATGCCCACATGGACCTTGTTGGGAACAGGGACACAAAGCTTACAAACCAATCAGAACACTAATTAAATTACGACACTCCCATAACAAACATACAATCCCTCCCCTCTGTGAGATAATTGAGTCAGATACTGTATTAACCCAATTATCATCAGGCAGAAAAAACACATATTTTACAAAACCCCAAAAGTACCCCAAAACACAACATCCCCTGATAGCCCTGATCTGGGTGAACAACATATCCAAAAAACACCCAGATCAGTTCAGGGGTTCAGCAATTTCCTGGAAGTCTTATTTTTTTACCGACCGTGCACATGGTCCCATGCCTAAAACAGTTTCAGAGAATTAGTGCTAACAGTCGGTCTCTCTGACTGGAGTACAAACGTGCATACTTCACATGAACAGAGTCTTTTAAAGTTCATTGGGCAAGGTATATTGCAAGGCCCATAGTTCTGAGGCAAGAGGCTGACCAGCAGGCTCCTCCAAGAACCAGTGATGAGGTTACTTTTGTCACATTGTTCTATGTGGAAGAACTCCAAACTACCACTCTATGAGCACTACAAGAGGAATTCCAGGTTTACAGCAAACTATCTGGCCTTAAATTAAACCTCACCAAATGCGAGATCCTGAACATTAATGTCGAGGATGAAATATGTACTCAAGTAAAATCTGATTCCATTGGTGCACAGATAAAATGCGATACCTTGGGATATGGGCACCATGCACGCCAATGGACCTATCCCACCAGAACTTTACCCCACTCCTCAGGACTGTCCAGGAAAACCTAAAAAGCTGGAACTACGCACACATATCCTGGCAGGGCAGGATAGCGGTGGTGAAAATGAACATTTTGCCAAGGTTTCTCTACCTGTTCCACACCATCCCCTGCCGAGGGACTTCTTTGTAACGATCAGAACCGCAGTACTCCGCTATGTCTGAAAAGGAGAAAGAGCTAGACTGAGACACGGCAAGCTCTGCCTATCAAAAGAATGGGAGGACTCGCTCTACCAGATTTCCGCAAATACGACAAGGCAACGGTCCTGCAACGAATATGCGAATGGCACACAGCCATTAGTTACTCTCAACTAAAACACTTCTATTGCAACCTGCCGGATAAATCCAAAATACACCGAGAACTAACTTGTTTTGAGGGATCTCAGTAAGAACACAACCGGCACGGACTCTAGGGTCTCTACCCTCTACCAGAAGCTATTGGTGGGAAATCTAGACCGCAAGAACTCATTTAAAAGACAGTGGGAAGAATTAACATCTCAAACCTTCTCCGATGCTCAATGGGAGAAAATCCTCATTATGCAACATAAAAGCTCAATTAGCTCCAAATATCAAGAGGCCAATTAATATCACAATGGTACCACACCCAGCCCTTCTACACAGGATTTACACAATGGTACCTAACACTTGCTGGAGGTGCACCACAGGGGTTGGATCCATACGACATATCTGGTGGGATTGCCCTAAAATCCCACCATACTGGAACGAAGTAAAAAACATAACAGAGGAAATTCTGGGAGAGGCTCCAGACTTCGACATTGCAAACATGCTCCCACATTCAACCAAACTGCCCATTTCCCAATATAGAAAAAAATAAATTGATCCTGAGACACCTGGTCAACACGGCCAAATCACTGGTGCCCACCTTCTGGAAACAAACGACTCCCCCGACAGCCAATGGCTACTAAGAGTAGAGGAAATCCATGCTGCTGAGGCAAAGCAGGCGGAACTCTTGAACTGAAGCATCAAGCACGCAGAGTGGTGGCGCCCGTGCTATATATTCCTAGCTCAAACAGGAACTGGAAGTGGGGTGGACGGCACTGACTGAGGTGTGGCTACTAAGAGTAGAGGAAATCCATGCTGCCGAGGCAAAGCAGGCGGGACTCTTGAACCGTAGCGATAATCACGCAGAGCGGTGGCGCCCGTTCTATATATTCCTAGCTCAAACAGGAACTGGAAGTGGGGTGGATGGCACCGACTGAGGTGTGCGGACACCCGCGCGCCACCCTATCACCTACCTTGCCCATGTACCCTCTCTCCTCTTATACCGCACTACCCTCTCTACCGCACTACACTTCTAGCTACTTTGCGCTATTTTGGTTCCTTCTTGATTATTTTCTCTCCCCTCCTCCCCCCCTCATCCAGACAGATCCATGCCTTTCCCCAAGTAAAATATTACCCACAGCACTGTTGAAAAAACTTCTAGCAGACGCAGGGGACGCCCCCGGCAATAGAGCGTACAGGGGTAGTAACTCACACACTGACCTACACGCCGGACAACAGTTTCCCCACTGACAAAACAACGTATCTGCATACCCGATTCTAACCACCATAGCACAGAACTGCGCAATACGACCACACACACAACACATCCACACTTTTGGACCAAGAAAGGGCTCCAAAAACCCTTACCTAGGAGGTAACTAGCATCTGTTATAAAGAGTTAGCGAATGTTTCACTTGAAAGCCGTGCTGTAATACATTTGACTGACAACTCACACCTGTTTTTGCATAATCAATGGCACAATGCATGGGAACCCTGCGTGGTCCACCTTATTACTAATTTGCTGAGAACACGCTATGCTACTGTCTAGCTTGTAATATCTCTGACAACTGAATATAAAACGGACATAAGAAAAACATTAAATTGTTGTAGCTGTCAACTCTCTGCCACTACTTTCTGTAGAGTCTACTACCCTTAACTGACCATACAGCTACAATTACCCGCAGATATATTCTGAGGTTCATCCTGCACCTCAGCCTGTTAATGTTCTATCTCTATAACGCTTAAACACATGAATCAAGCTTGTGTTTTATACCCCAATTTTTTCACCCCTAACATGTTTAGTAGTTATCCATGCTTGCATGCCTTATTACTCTTAAAAACACAGGTATGTTAACCTGAAGCTACTGTAATCCCTATACTCCAAAACTTGCGCTGTTTGTTCGAAATGATGCACAGTGATAAATGTTTATAGATTCATGCTATTTGTCTCAATGTGCAAAAAATAAATACATAAATAAAAGAATGCACAAGGAATATGAATGCCATGTCACTGTCACAATATGTACATTATCATGGTTTGCCCCGCTGTCGTGCTACAGTAAACTTGCTTTGTTGGCTAAATGCACAATCAAATAAAGATTTACATATATTATATAAATTATATGCTGCAGTGTACTGCATTGTACTGCAATGAATGTTTTTAAAAGCCATGTCTTTTTCTTTATGGCTGTGTGTAATAAAGTTATTCATAATTTGGAATATAAAAACACGACTTCTCAATTCCTTGGAATGGAAGCATTGTTTATCTGTCTCTGTAACTCCGCGACCTTGACTGGAAATCTTGGCTGAAAATCCCAGACTCCAAAAATAATATGCTGTTATAATTCCTGATTTTTTTTAAATCAACAGCAAGTGTAACTGACAATATGGAAATTATCACTGTTTTATAAAACTTTTTATATAGTTGATATTACAATCCAGAAGGCAGTAATGCAATAATTAAAATTCCTGTCTCTATGTTTGAGCATGAATGTTTTCATTAAGCCATAAGGCAATTTCTTTGCATTCTTGGAATTAGAAATGAAATCTACTAGCAATGTAATAGCAAGTGTTGCTTTCATCGCTTGTCTTATCATTTTTTCATGACGACGATATGTTGCATTAATTAATTTTTTCATGCACATGCACACTATGCAGCTACAGAGAGAACATATCCCCTTGCCTACAACCCACTGTCCTGGAACTAATGGACTATGCTTTGCTGATGTATTAGGCATATTAGGGAGTTTACCAAATATGTATATGTTTCTCTTATGATATTAGCTAAGATCCATAATTTTAGCATTGTATTACAATGTACCTG